AGCAGTGACGATTGCTCTAAGGTGCGGAGGTGTGCGGTGAACACCCTAACATAATTTGCAAAATGTCAAAAACTTAATCAATTTGCTTCTGTTAGCCGCTATACTTGTTAGTTGTGCTCATATATTTGCAGCTCAAATCACAAAACATTTCTATTATATTTCGTCTCTCCCCTTTGTGTGCAAAGAAGTTGGCCGCACATTCATACGTTGCATATGAACAAAATAATGTGCGTGTACTCCCGTTCATAATATCAAAAATAGAGATTTATATAGTGGGTATTGTATGAGAGTAATTTTCTGTTCTACTCGAATATCAACTGCACACATACGAATCCAACATGATGATTTGCCAAAGTGGTTGCATGAGCGGCTGAAGTTTGCAGCTCATCTCAGCATACATTTCTATCACATTTCGTCTCTCCCCTTTTAACAGTAGCACCCACGAATTTCTGTTCTTACTGTGCGGAGTACTTGTGCGCACATTTGTACGTTGCAAGTGGGTTTGATTTTGTTTGATCACTGGATAAACATGTATGGTTCTGAGTTAAAACTCTTTTGTTTGAAAAAAGTTGGTTTGATGTTACAAGTATATGAAAAGTTTTGTTTCTTCCATATTGATATAATATTAAATTTATATATAAATTATTAATTTAATTTGTTTAATATGTTCTTTTGTTAATGAATTGTTAATATAATATTGCGACTATATTATTGCCTTATATAATATAGTTATTATTAATAAAAGATCTCATATATTTTAATATAAGTGGTACATGTAAAAACAACATTAAAGAAGGGCCGCACACCCTTCCAGATAGGGCACGCGTCGTCACTGCTTTGTAGAGATATATTTATTTAAAAGCTTGTAATTTGATTATTATTAATAAACACTAGTTTACACAATGGCTGCCGGCTCTAATGTTGATGCGTCGCTTTTCACTTTTCTCTACATACTCAACGTTTTTCTGTTGATAGCTGATTGTCTGTCTTTTGGAGTTGACATATATGGACAGAGTTGTTATATAGCCGTCACACCTTCACTAGAGTATATTCATTTGTTTATACTACTCAAGTATGTGATGAGTACTTCTGACTATACTTTACTCCTCTCAATAAATTGTTCGCACTCTTGTGACGTTAATTCGTTAGCACCAGCACTTAAAATATTCTTATTTGGCGCTACAGTCCAAGGTGAACCTTGGCCTCCTTCACAACCTGCCTCCATCTGTTTTGATGATCTGCAGTTCTTTTCCAATTTAGAACTCCTAGCTCTCTAGCGTTCTCGTACACGTTTTCCTTCCATCTCAGATTCGGTCTGCATTTGTACTCTGTTGTCATCGGATTGACATTAAATATATTTAGCGAGTTATTTTCAGGTTCCATTCTCACAACGTGAGCTGCCCATTACAGTCTTTGTGCTTTGACAAATCTTACTATATTTTCATTTTTCAGCAGGTTGTAAATTTCGTTGTTTGTCTGAATGTCTCGTCGTCCATTTGAATTAGGCCATAAACTTGGCGAACTATCTTGCTTTCAAAAATTTTCGAAGTTTAGTTTTTGAGACTTTATTTATGCATTTCATCGGCTATTTCCATCAATTTTTCTGGTATTAACACACTTAACTCATTCCATGTTCCAAATCTTAAGTCCAAATTACATTACCAGTTTCTGTTATTAAATGCTCTTCCATTGTTCCGAGGCATGTTTGAAGATTGCGTAGCGGGTATTTTTTTTCCGATGCGAGGCTGCTGAGTTTGCAATCAACCCCATCCTGGAGGACCAAACCCCCTTATTTGCAAATCTGGTGATAAAATTGGTGTTTGGTAGCTAGAGAGTTTCCCATTTGCTAGGTATTTTCAGGTTATACCACCTGTGCTCGGTCGCCAGAGCCTCGCATGCGAGAATAGGATGCAACACGTGTAGGTGAGGTTAGCTGTTGAGGAAGCCAGACTGTATATTCGCATCACTCCCCGTTGAGACATACACTTCTGCCCCCTGCATCTTGCATTTGGCAATTAGCACAGTAACAGTAATATTCATAAGTCAACTGTGTGGTGAATATGGGTGCGTAAATGTGGCGTATGTGAAAACTACTTATTCGCGTCTATACTTGCTTTTTACGATTATTAAAATAATTACTTGTGAGTTACATTTACTGCGTTTAATAATCTTTACATTAACGGTTGTGTGGCCTGGACAGCTGTTTTGATATCATCGCTAAGGGTTAGGTGGTACATACTTTTCAGTATAAGCTTAAAACTTTTTATATCAGCATTGAATATGATAGCTTGAACCTTTACTTGATAAGAGTTTATAATGAACTCATTTATATGAAATCTACTTCCTTCTTAAGCATACTTTTTAGTGTAAGCTTGTAGCTTTTCTCGATTTTCAATTTGTAATTATAAAATTGTATCTTTCAGTTCTAACTGCTTAACAATTATTATATCGGCATTGGATAGGGTAGATTTTACCTTTACTTGATTTTATTTTATAATGAGCTCATTAATATGAAAGCTTTTTGGAGGGCAAATTATAGTAATTAACGGTCTTACTGAGCAAAACTCCATAAATAAGACCAGTGGAAACGTGGTATTATGTATACTCATACTCAAGTTGTTGTATTTTTACTGTCATTGTTTTTCTTCTATCGTCTTATAATTACTCCATCTTCTGTTGTTAATGTTCCAAAAACAAAACTAAATTATTTGTGCTGTAAGGAATTTGCTGACCCATTCTAACTTATGGAAATATGATGAATTGATAAGTTATAAATTCACTTTGTAAACTTTTCAATTCGTTTTTTTCTGCAACTAATTTTTATTGTCAACACAGAGGTTTTTATATTTATATTTTATATAAATATTTTTTATATAAAAAAATATATATTTTTTTATATTTTAGAAGCAAATTGTTTTAATAGTGTTGAACAGGATGTATATTTCCCAGCTTTTGCAATTTATATTAACGCTTTATTTTTTAATATTTCTTTTGATTTCTTTTCTTAGTGCAATTATTTTTGTAAATTTGAATGAATTTATTATTAATTGCTTTTAAATTTTTTTAAATAATTTTTACACAGAAATTTCTATTTCTTTAAATAATTAATGTTCGATTCAAAATTTCAAATTTGTATTTTGTAACTTCAGTTTTCAATTTTGTAAAGCAAAAAGTATTGAAATATTTTTTTTTGTTTAAAAGGACTGATTTTTACTAAATTTAAATGATATTTCTCTAAATAAATTAATTGTGCAAACATAATTATTTTTCCAATACAATACCGTTTTGTATATAGTCAATTTCAAAAAACCAGAGTTCGGAATGTGGTGCACAAAATCGCACACTGCACTGTGCGAGTGGAAATTATTTTTAAAATATGCACACGCACATTTGTGGTGTTAAGAAAAAAAATGCACGCACTCAAATTTGTTGTGTGGTTTCCATTTCCACATCGCACAAAGCGATGA